ATATTACATTGTTTAAGGGATATATCAGTGGAGACCACCTCTTCCAGGTCAATAGGAGACACCATATTACATTGTTTAAGGGATATATCAATGGAGACCACCTCTTCCAGGTCAATAGGAGACACCATATTACATTGTTTAAGGGATATATCAGTGGAGACCACCTCTTCCAGGTCAATAGGAGACACCATATTACATTGTTTAAGGGATATATCAGTGGAGACCACCTCTTCCAGGTCAATAGGAGACACCATATTACATTGTTTAAGGGATATATCAGTGAAGACCACCTCTTCCAGGGCAATAGGAGACACCATATGTCTGATTATACTCAGCCAGGTGGCGGAATAATAATTTAGGGATGCGGCGAAATGCTAGTGCCTGGAAATGCAATTTAAAGTTTGATACGGATAGTCCTCCTACAGTACGTCTTTCCCTCTATGTAAGTGTGTTAATCTTTTCCAGGCTCGCTTACCTTCCCGTATACATTTAGAAACTATGGATATTATCCCAATAGCCAGAAGGGGGAGACAAGGGAAGCATTGAACTAAAGAAATTCAGCCGTGGCAATATATTCATTTTGACAATCGATTTTCTGCCGGTTAAAGCAACTGGGATGTTAGTCCAACTACTGAGGTCTGATATAATTTATTTGAGTGTTCTGTTAAAGTTTCTGGCAATGATTTTATCTAAGGAATGAAATATATATATTCCCAATATTTAAAATGGGAAATGATTTGGATTCCATAAGTAGAGATGGAGTCCTCCATCGGGGTCTTGAGAGGCAGTAGGGCTGATTTGGTTAGATTATTTTATAACTTGAGTTTAAGCTGAATTTATCTATGATCTTCAATGAGTTTGGGAGCGATTTAGATACATTGTCTAGATACAGTGCATTAGGAAAGTATTCAGATCCCTTGACTTTTTCCACATTTTGTTAGGGTGCAGTCTTATTCTAAAATTGATTTTTTTTTTTTACATTTCCTCATCAATCTACACACAATACCCCATAATGACAAAGAGAAAACCGTTTTTTTTACATTTTTGCTAATGTATTAAAAATAAAAAACAGAATTATCTTATTCATATATGTATTCAGACCCTTTGCTATGAGACTCGAAATTGAGCTCAGGTGCATCCTGTTTCCATTAATCATCCTTGAGATGTTTCTACAACTTGATTGGAGTCAATTTCAAATGATTGGACATGATTTGGAAAGACACAAACCTGTCTATATAAGGTCCCACAGTTGACAGTGAATGTCAGAGCAAAAAACCAAGCAATGAGGTTGAAGGAATTGTCCGTAGAGCTCTGAGACAGGATTGTGTCAAGGCACAGACCATCGAGATAGAGAAGTAAATAACACACTCATATCATCGAGAAGTAAATAACACACTCATATCATCGAGAAGTAAATAACACACTCATATAATCGAGAAGTAAATAACACACTCATATCATCGAGAAGTAAATAACACACTCATATCATCGAGAAGTGAATAACACACTCATATCATCGAGAAGTAAATAACACACTCATATCATTGAGAAGTAAATAACACACTCATACCATCGAGAAGTAAATAACACACTCATATCATCGAGAAGTAAATAACACACTCATATCATAGAGAAGTAAATAACACACTCATACCATCGAGAAGTAAATAACACACTCATATCATCGAGATAGAGAAGTAAATAACACACTCATATCATCGAGAAGTAAATAACACACTCATATCATCGAGAAGTAAATGACACACTCATATCATCGAGATAGAGAAGTAAATAACACACTCATATCATCGAGAAGTAAATAACACACTCATATCATCGAGATAGAGAAGTAAATAACACACTCATACCATCGAGAAGTAAATAACACACTCATATCATAGAGAAGTAAATAACACACTCATATCATAGAGAAGTAAATAACACACTCATATCATCGAGAAGTAAATAACACACTCATATCATCGAGATAGAGAAGTAAATAACACACTCATACCATCGAGATACAGAGTGTTCTTCTTTCACGCTAACTCATGACCTGGGCTGTATTTTTACCTGGAGGTTTTTGCTGTCTGTATTTTGTTTGAAGAGATGGACAATGAGAAAACGACAGTGAGAAAGAGAGAGAGATAAATGCTCTACTTTCTACAATTATGCCAGGATACAGCCGGCCTCCCTCCCCTCATCCTCCTCTCTCATTTCACAGTGCAGGAACTACAAATACAGAACGCTTTAGGATCCCCAGGAGCTTCTGGACAAAGGCAGATAAGAGAGAGGGGTCTGGAAAGGATAAACTTCTTTAACACCCGAAATGTCCCCTAATAAAGCATGAGGCTGGAGACCGGCATGCCATCCCTGACAGACAGCTCTACCGACTAGGAGACCGCAGGGCAGGAAGGGAACAGCGTGCATACTGAACACATACACAGTTACCCTGTGCATACTGAACAGACACAGCTACCTAGGTCAGAGAGGCCACAGCCTGCATACAGAACACAGACACACACATGTATATTTCCAGTGTAAATTGTGAGTATTGGAGTGACCCTCCTAGGGGTTCTATTTATCTACTAGCCAGACGCAGGGCATTCACCCAGCTGCCGGTGGGACAGAGCAGAGACACCACACAGAGGAGGAGAGAGTGTGGTTTTGTCCTTTCACCTCTCATTATAACGTCCCTCCCTGTCCAAGACACAATAACACAAGTGGGCGCACTGTAGCTTTCACATTTAATTATCCTCTCCCTTCCCTGCCCCAGACACAATAACACGAGTGGGAGCACTGTAGCTTTCACATTTAATGATCCTCTCCCTTCCCTGCCCCAGACACAATGACACGCGAGGCTGCCAGGCATAGAGGTCACTCTCCCCCACTCCTTTCTGGGTTGGTGGGCAGTGCTGGGGAAAGTGGAGGAGGGAGGGAGTGTGGCTACCGTTAGTGTCCACTGTCTGGTTCAGTGCTCCATGTCACCAGAACAGATCTGATTCTAGTCTGTTCTGCAAGATAAGTATTGCCTTCCACTCTTCAGGTGAATGTGAAAGAGATTTTGTCCTAATGGGGAGAAATCAGGTTTGGAAAAAGTACCCAATTGTCATACTTGAGTAAAAGTAAAGATACTTTAACAGAAAATGACTCAAGTAAAAGTGTAAGTCAGCCAGTAAAATACTACTTGAGTAAAAGTCTAAAAGTATTTGATTTTAAATATACTTAAGTATCAAAAGTGAAAGTAAAAGTATAAATCATTTCAAATTCCTTATATTAAGCAAACCAGACAGCACGATTGTCTTGTTTTAAAAATGTACGGATAGTCAGGCGCACACTCTAACACTCAGACATCATTTACAAATGAAGCATTTGTGTTTAGTGAGTCCGCCAGATTTAAATGTACGGATAGTCAGGGGCACACTCTGAAACTCAGACATCATTTACAAATGGGGATGAGCAGGGATGTTGATAAGTGCATGAATTGGACAATTTTCCTGTCCTGTTAAGCATTCAAAATGTAGGAGGCACTTTTGGGTATAAGGGAAAATGTATGGAGTAATAAGTACATTATTTTCTTTAGGAATGTAGTGAAGTAAAAGTAAAAGTTGTCAAAAAATATAAATAGTTGTCACGATCGTTATAAGATGATGCAGACCAAGGCGCAGCGTGATAAGCGTACATTATTTATTAAGTACACCACAACACGAACAAAAATAATAAACGATACGTGAAGTCCTAGGTTAAACACAAACCTTACGGATCAAGATCCCACAATAAACAGTGCCAAACAGGCTGCCAAAGTATGGTCCCCAATCAGAGACAACAAGCTACAGCTGCCTCTGATTGGGAACCACCCTGGCCAACATAGAAATACACGAACTAGAACAAAACATAGAAAATAACACATAGAAAATCCACACCCTGGCTCAACATATAAGAGTCCCCAGAGCCAGGGCGTGACAATAGTACAGTAAAGTACAGATACCCCAAAAAACTACTTAAGTAGTACTTTAAAGTATTTTTACTGAAGTACTTTACACCACTGGGAGAAATAGAGGGAGTCAGTGTTTGTGTGACAGAGATGTTCTATGTGTGTCACGTGAGATAGAAAAAGAGGGAGCGACAGAGAAATCATACAGTATGAGAGAGAAGAGAGAGGGAGACACAGAGAAATCATACAGTATGAGAGAGAAGAGAGAGGGAGACACAGAGAAAGCATACTGTATGAGAGAGAAGAGAGAGGGAGACACAGAGAAAGCATACTGTATGAGAGAGAAGACAGAGGGAGACACAGAGAAAGCATACAGTATGAGAGAGAAGAGAGAGGGAGACGCAGAGAAAGCATACAGTATGAGAGAGAAGACAGAGGGAGAGAACGACAGAGAAAGCCTATACGATATTTGGCTCCATAGGTTCTCTATGTTAATGAAGACAGTGCTCTCTATTTTAATGAAGACAGTGCTCTTATGTTAATGAAGACAGTGCTCTCTATGTTAATGAAGACAGGGCTCTCTATGTTAATGAAGACAGGGCTCCATTAACAGCAGACAAGACTCTTTAATCCTCTTTAACAGCCCGGTCCACTCACCCAGGAGGAAGCCGCAGCAGAAAATCATTTTTCTACTCAGCAGCCCATCAACAAAGGCTTATATTTGTCTCAGGGCCCTGCACAACTTACACTGGAGAGGGTGAGGGTGAGTTCCTGTGAGTGTAAGAGTGTGTTACTTCCGTGTGTGTGTGTGTGTGTGTGTGTGTGTGTGTGTGTGTGTGTGTGTGTGTGTGTGTGTGTGTGTGTGTGTGTGTGTGTGTGTGCGTGCGTGCGTGAGAGAGAGAAGAGCCTTGAAGTCTGAGCTAAACAAATACCCAACGTCGTTCCATTGAAGTTTGGCGAGGCCAATTGTTGATCAAGACATTTTATTTTTCAGAACAGTTTTGAACCCCCCCCCCCCCCCCCCAAGAGTTGTCTTGAAGTTGGGAATGCTAGACAGTGTTTACAAGTGTGTAGCTCTGTCTCCAGAGATCTTCCTCTCCTGTAAAGTCTCCTCTTTCTGCACCACCTCCAGGCTCCAGTAGTACTGTGGTGCAGGGATCCAGCTTTAGAAATGATTCAAGATTTCCTATCTCTCAAAACAGACACTATGCCCCCAACACATACACACACTTCCTATCTCTCAAAACAGACACTATGCCCCCAACACATACACATACACTTAGGTTGGAGTCATTAAAACTCGTTCTTTCAACCACTCCACACATTTCTTGTTAACAAACTATTGTTTTGGCAAGTCGGTTAGGACATCTACTTTGTGCATGACACAAGTAATGCTTCCAACAATTGTTTACAGAGATTATTTCACTTATAATTCACTGCGTCACAATTCCAGTGGGTCAGAAGTTTACATACACTAAGTTGACTGTGCCTTGAAACAGCTTGGAAAATTCCAGAAAATGATGTAATGGCTTTAGAAGCTTCTGATAGGCTAATTGACATCATTTGAGTGAATTGGAGGTGTACATGTGGATGTATTTCAAGGCCTACCTCAAGCCTCTTTGCTTGACATCATGGGAAAATCAAAAGAAATCAGCCAAGACCTCAGAAAAGAAATTGTAGACCTCCACAAGTCTGGTTCATCCTTGGGAGCAATTTCCAAACGCCTGAATGTACCACGTTCATCTGAATCCCAGAACAACAGCAAAGGACCTTGTGAAGATGCTGGAGGAAACAGGTACAAAACTATCTATATCCACAGTAAAACGAGTCCTATATCGACATAACCTGAAAGGCCGCTCAGCAAGGAAGAAGCCACTGCTCCAAAACCGCCATAAAAAAGCCAGACTACGGTTTGCCTCTGGAGAAATGTCCTCTGGTCTGATGAAACAAAAATAGAACTGTTTGGCCATAATGACCATCGTTATGTTTGGAGGAAAAAGGGGAATGCTTGCAAGCCAAAGAACACCATCCCAACCATGAAGCACGAGGGTGGCAGCATCATGCTGTGGGGGTGCTTTGCTGCAGGAGGGACTGGTGCACTTCACAAAATAGATGACATCATGAGGAAGGAAAAATATGTGGATATATTGAGGCAACATCTCAAGACATCAGTCAGGAAGTTAAAGCTTGGTCGCAAATGGGTCTTCCAAATGGACAATGACCCCAAGCATACTTCCAAAGTTGTGGCAGAATGGCTTAAGGACAACAAAGTCAAGGTATTGCTCGCACACGCTTTTTCAGTTCTGCCCACAAATGTTCTATAGGATTGAGGTCAGGGCTTTGTGATGGCCACTCCAATCAATCAATCAATTTTATTTTATATAGCCCTTCTTACATCAGCTAATATCTCGAAGTGCTGTACAGAAACCCAGCCTAAAACCCCAAACAGCTAGTAATGCAGGTGTAGAAGCACGGTGGCTAGGAAAAACTCCCTAGAAAGGCAAAACCTAGGAAGAAACCTAGAGAGGAACCAGGCTATGAGGGGTGGCCAGTCCTCTTCTGGCTGTGCCGGGTGGAGATTATAACAGAACCATGCCAAGATGTTCAAAAATGTTCATAAGTGACAAGCATGGTCAAATAATAATCAGGAATAAATCTCAGTTGGCTTTTCATAGCCGATCATTAGAGTTTAAAACAGCAGGTCTGGGACAGGTAGGGGTTCCATAACCGCAGGCAGAACAGTTTAAACTGGAATAGCAGCAAGGCCAGGCGGACTGGGGATAGCAAGGAGTCACCACGGCCGGTAGTCCCGACGTATGGTCCTAGGGCTCAGGTCTCTCAGTTGGCTTTTCATAGCCGATCATTTAGAGTTGAAAACAGCAGGTCTGGGACAGGTAGGGGTTTCGTAGCCGCAGGCAGAACAGTTGAAACTGGAATAGCAGCAAGGCCAGGCGGACTGGGGGCAGCAGGGTGTCATCATGCCCGGTAGTCCTGACGTATGGTCCTAGGGCTCAGGTTCTCAGAGAGAAAGAGAGAACGAGAGAATTAGAGAGAGCATACTTAAATTCACACAGGACACTGGATAAGACAGGAGAAGTACTCCAGGTATAACCAACTAACCCCAGCCCCCCGACACATAAACTACTGCAGCATAAATACTGGAGGCTGAGACAGGAGCGGTCCGGAGACACTGTGGCCCCATCCGAAGAAACCCCCGGACAGGGCCAAACAGGAAGGATATAACCCCACCCACTCCGCCAAAGCACAGCCCCTGTCTCAGCCTCCAGTATTTATGCTGCAGTAGTTTATGTGAGAACCTATGGAGCCAAATATCGTATAGGCTTTCTCTGTCGTTCTCTCCCTCTGTCTTCTCTCTCATACTGTATGCTTTCTCTGCGTCTCCCTCTCTCTTCTCTCTCATACTGTATGCTTTCTCTGTGTCTCCCTCTGTCTTCTCTCTCAGGTGAACGGAAAGGCTGGAGCAACGAACAGCCCTTGCTGTCTCTGCCAGGCCGGTTCCCCTCTCCACTGGGGTTCTCTGCCTCTAACCCTGTTGCAGGGGCTGAGTCACTGGCCTGCTGGTGCTCTTTCATGCCGTCCCTGGGAGGGGTGCGTCACTTGAGTGGGTTGAGTTACTGACGTGATCTTCCTGTCTGGGTTGGCGCCCCCCCCCCCCCCTTGGTTTGTGCTGTGGTGGAGACCTCTGTGGGCTATACTCGGCCTTGTCTCAGGATTGTAAGTTGGTGGTTGGGGATATCCCTCTAGTGGTGCGGGGGCTGTGCTTTGGCGGAGTGGGTGGGGTTATATCCTTCCTGTTTGGCCCTGTCCGGGGGTTTCTTCGGATGGGGCCACAGTGTCTCCGGACCGCTCCTGTCTCAGCCTCCAGTATTTATGCTGCAGTAGTTTATGTGTCGGGGGGCTGGGGTTAGTTGGTTATACCTGGAGTACTTCTCCTGTCTTATCCAGTGTCCTGTGTGAATTTAAGTATGCTCTCTCTAATTCTCTCGTTCTCTCTTTCTCTCTGAGAACCTGAGCCCTAGGACCATACGTCAGGACTACCGGGCATGATGACACCCTGCTGCCCCCAGTCCGCCTGGCCTTGCTGCTATTCCAGTTTCAACTGTTCTGTCTGCGGCTACGAAACCCCTACCTGTCCCAGACCTGCTGTTTTCAACTCTAAATGATCGGCTATGAAAAGCCAACTGAGAGACCTGAGCCCTAGGACCATACGTCGGGACTACCGGCCGTGGTGACTCCTTGCTATCCCCAGTCCGCCTGGCCTTGCTGCTATTCCAGTTTAAAACTGTTCTGCCTGCGGTTATGGAACCCCTACCTGTCCCAGACCTGCTGTTTTAAACTCTAATGATCGGCTATGAAAAGCCAACTGAGATTTATTCCTGATTATTATTTGACCATGCTTGTCACTTATGAACATTTTTGAACATCTTGGCATGGTTCTGTTATAATCTCCACCCGGCACAGCCAGAAGAGGACTGGCCACCCCTCATAGCCTGGTTCCTCTCTAGGTTTCTTCCTAGGTTTTGCCTTTCTAGGGAGTTTTTCCTAGCCACCGTGCTTCTACACCTGCATTACTAGCTGTTTGGGGTTTTAGGCTGGGTTTCTGTACAGCACTTCGAGATATTAGCTGATGTAAGAAGGGCTATATAAAATAAAATTGATTGATTGATTGGAGTGGCCATCACAAAGCCCTGACCTCAATCCTATAGAACATTTGTGGGCAGAACTGAAAAAGCGTGTGCGAGCAAGGAGGCCTACAAACCTGACTCAGTTACACCAGTTCTGTCAGGAGGAATGGGCCTAAATTCATCCAACTAATTGTGGGAAGCTAAACAATTTAAAGGCAATGCTACCAAATACTAATTGAGTGTACGTAAACTTCTGACCCACTGGGAATGTGATGAAATAAATAAAAGCTGAAATTAATCATTCTCTCTACTATTATTCTGACATTTCACATTCTTAAAATAAATTGGTGATCCTAACTGACCTAAGACAGGGAATTTTTACTAGGATTAAATGTCAGAAATTGTGAAAAACTGAGTTTAAATGTATTTGGCTAAGGTGTACGTAAACTTCCGACTTCAACTGTACACACACACAGCCAGATTAGCCACTGAGGCGGTTAGGTACTCCTTTGGGTTTCCATAAAAAGCAGGGAAAAACGCTTCTCATCTGTGGTAGTGAATAATTACGTGTTACGCCTCCACCTGTAATATAACATTTTATATTTCTAAGGGTGGGGTCAAGTTTACAGTTGAAGCTGCTTCACACAACTCTGCCTCACGCCCCACCACTACAGAGTTCAGTTAGCTTCTTAGCTAGCTGTAAAAAGCTTTAGTGTTATTAGCCTCAGCATATTTAGCTAGCTCGAACCAGCTAATCTGCCACTGCCACGATGGATTTCAGAAATTGGCTTCGTCAAAATACCCACACAAAGCCAAAGGAGAAGGGGACCCCTGGCTACAGTGTCAGTGGTTGTTAAAGCTTGTGACAGCATTGTGAAGTTCCTCTCTCACAGAGAATGATCTCACAGCGTTCGTACAGCACAGAGGTAATAATATAATAATAATATGCCATTTAGCAGACGCTTTTATCCAAAGCGACTTACAGTCATGCGTGCATACATTTTTGTGTATGGGTGGTCCCGGGGATCGAACCCACTACCTTGGCGTTTCAAGCGCCGTGCTCTACCAGCTGAGCTACAGAGGACCACGGTAAGGCTCGAGGCTACAGGGCTGCTGAAGACGGTGACTGACCCCGGCTTTATGTTTACAGCCACCATATGATGGTTTAAAGCCCCCAGAATCCTCAGTCTTCTCGATCCTTCAAACAAATTACTGATGAGTGACACCGAGTTCGAAGCCATTTGGGCGCAATTCAGTGCCAGTGATGCACCACCAGTTCCAAGCAAACAACAAAGTTATGTAAATACAGTGCATTCGGAAAGTATTCAGACCCCTTGACTTTTTCCACATTTTATTACATTACAGCCTTATTCTATAATGGATTCAATAGTTTTTTCCCCCTCATTAATCTACACACAATACCCCATAATGACAAAGCAAAAACAGGTTTTTATAAATATTTGCAAATTTATAACAAATAATACATGGAAATATCATATTTACATAAGAATTCAGACCCTTTACTCAGTACTTTGTTGAAGCACCTTTGGCAGCGATTACAGCCTCAAGTCTAATTGGGTATGACGCTACAAGCTTGGCACACCTGTATTTGGGGAGTTTCTCCCATTGTTCTCTGCAGATCCTCTCAAGCTCTATCAGGATGGATGGGGAACGTCACTGCACAGCTATTTTCAGGTCTCGCCAGAGATGTTCGATCGGGTTCAAGTCCGGGCTCTGGCTGGGCCCCTCAAGGGCATTCAGAGACTTGTCCCGAAACCACTCCTGTGTTGTCTTGGCTGTGTGCTTAGGGTCGTTGTCCTGTTGGAAGGTGAACCCTCACCCCAGTCTGAGGTCCTGAGCACTCTGGAGCAGGTTTTCATCAAGGATCTCTCAGAACTTTGCTCCGTTCATCTTTCCCTTGAGCCTGACTAGTCTCCCATTCCCTGCCGCTGAAAAACATCCTCACAGCATGATGCTGCCACCAATATGCTTCCCCATAGGAATGGTGCAAGGTTTCCTCCAGACGTGACACTTGGCATTCAGGCCAAAGAGTTCAATCTTGGTTTCATCAGACCAGAGAATCCTGTTTCTCATGGTCTGAGAGTCCTTTAGGTGCCTTTTGGCAAACTCCAAGTGGGCTGTCATGTGCCTTTTACTGAGGAGTGGCTTCCATCTGGCCACTCTACCATAAAGGCCTGATTGGTGGAGTGCTGCAGAGATGGTTTTCCTTCTGGGAGGTTCTCCCATCTCCACAGAGGAACTGTGGAGCTCTGTCAGAGTGACCATCGGGTTCTTGATCACCTCCCTGACCAAGGACCTTCTCCCCCGATTGCTCAGTTTGGCCAGGTGGCCAGCTCTAGGAAGAGTCTTGGTGGTTCCAAACTTCTTCCATTTAAGAATGATGGAGGACACTGTGTTCGTGGGGACCTTCAATGCTGCAGAAATGTTTTGGCACCCTTCCCCAGATCTGTGCCTCGACACAATCCTGTCTCGGAGCTCTACGGACAATTCCTTTGACCTCATGGCTTGGTTTTTGCTCTGACATGCATTATCAACTGTGGGATATTATTTAGACAGGTGTGTGCCTTTCCAAAACATGTCCAGTCAATTGAATTTACCACAGGTGGACTCCAATCAAGTTGTAGAAACATCTCAAGGATAATCAATGGAAACGGGATGCAAGCTCAATTTCGAGTGTCATAGCAAAGGGTCTAAATACTTATGTAAATTGGGTATTTCTGTCTTTTGTTTGTAATACATTTGCAAACATTTCTAAAAAAAACGTTTTCGCTTTGTCATTATGGGGTATTGTGTGTAGAATGATGAGGATTTTTGTATTTATTTAATCCATTTTAGAATAAGGCTGTAACGTATCAAAATGTGGAAAAGTCAAGGGGTCTGAATACTTTCCGAATGCACTGTACATCTTTCCAGCAATTAAAGGTGGACAGTACAGTAGGCCAGCAGGTCAGAGGAGAAGAGACTGAGCGTAAAAGATCCTGGATGCTGTCCTTAGTGAAATGTCAGAATGATTCAGAGAACGCAAACAGCTAACTGGAGGAGCCCCTGTGTGCCCTTGACCAAGAGAGTCATTACTTTCCAGATGTGAAAAAGGTGAAACCACTGCACTGACACATGGATTGATTTTGGGGTGTCCATAGCTACATGCGAGAACTCATTTTCCACTTTGACAAATGTGTTCAGTCAGCTCAGAAGAAGCATGCTACACCCCAGGAAAGCTCAACTAATCCAACTGGCATTTGAGGGGGATCTTACAAGAAGATTTCGGGGAGAATGGAATGATCGATTACACAGGAAGGTTGATAGCATGACTTTGAAACACGGAAGTTACCTTACTTCCCCCAGTCCTGCCCCTTGAGACCCTCTCCAGGATACCGTCTCCAACTACACAGAAGTTATCTTACTTCCCCCAGTCCTCTCTCGTGTGCTGCCCTTCTGGCAGCTTTATGGGCCTTGCACAGCTGGTGAGCAATCCGCCCTTAATTACTCACCAGCTCCCAATCAGCCCCAATTAGTCCTGTCCGGGGAGCCCTTCGAGACCTGGCACGTCCAGCAGATGGAGCCACCGCCTCGTGATGTATCCTCCATCTGTCACCAGGCATCGACGAGTCTCCCCTGGTGGCTGACCTGCTGTACGCCACTATATATATACTGTATATTATTTTATTTTATTGTTGGACATGAGACTGTAAAAACACCAGCAAATCAGCTCCAAGTGATTTTAATTTTGGAAGTCTATTCCAAAGTATTCCAACACGCGTAATAGAGAGATATATGTGATTGTATACAAATGTCAGCAAGGTTTGAAACTATTATGTTTTAGTCAAAAATTATATCTGTTTGGGCTAATTGCGGTCAATTTGCTGTCTACAAATTATTTGTAATTATGTTCCAGCCCCCTGACCATCCACTCAAGAAAAAATCGGCCCGCGGCTGAATCTAGTTGATGATCCCTGCTGTACTGGTTGATGACTTTGTTCAAATTCAGTGTACTTTCCACATTGATTCCACATCACAATACGTTGACAAATTACATTGAAACAACATTGATTCAACCAGTGTGTGCCCAGTGGGATGGGACATGTGATTGCTAATTGCTACTACTGCAATTTAACAATTTCGTTGTTCTAAAAGGGGCTGACTGTAGGATGTCGGGAGTTCACTGTGGACCTGGGCACTTCTTTCCCAAAACCTCCCCACCAAACCCACTGTTCAACGTGACTTCCTCTGTCTGAGACCAAGGCTACTGTATGAGTAATGGTGGACATAGACCCTATGATGATCCTCTGTCTGAGACCAAGGCTACTGTATGAGTAATGGTGGACATAGACCCTATGATGCTCCTCTGTCTCCCTATTGGATGTGTCCCATCACACGGAACATAACAGAACAGACATTCTGTCCTTGGGCTCTGTAGAACGTCCTGTCTGTGTGTCCAAGCAGTGGCCGCTAACCCGGGTTTTTTTTTATTTATTTTTTATTTAACCTTTATTTAACCAGGTAAGCCAGTTGAGAACAAGTTCTCATTTACAACTGCGACCTGGCCAAGATAAAGCAAAGCATTGCGATAAAAACAACAACACAGAGTTACATATGGGGTAAAACAAAACAAAGTCAAAAATACAACAGAAATAAATATATATACAGTGTGTGCAAATGTAGCAAGTTATGGAGGTAAGGCAATAAATAGGCTATAGTGCAAAATAATTACAATTAGTATTAACACTGGAATGATAGATGTGCAAGAGATGATGTGCAAATAGAGATACTGGGGTACAAATGAGCAAAATAAATAGCAATATAGGGATGAGGTAGTTGGGCGGGCTAATTTCAGATGGGCTGTGTACAGGTGCAGGGATCGGTAAGGTGCTCTGACAACTGATGCTTAAAGTTAGTGAGGGAGATAAGTGTCTCCAGCTTCAGAGATTTTTGCAATTTGTTCCAGTCATTGGCAGCAGAGAACTGGAAGGAATGGCGGCCAAAGGAGGTGTTGGCTTTGGGGATGACCAGTGAGATATACCTGCTGGAGCGCATACTACGGGTGGGTGTTGCTATGGTGACCATTGAGCTAAGATAAGGCGGGGATTTGCCTAGCAGTGATTTATAGATGGCCTGGAGCCAGTGGGTTTGGCGACGAACATGTAGTGAGGACCAGCCAACAAGAGCGTACAGGTCACAGTGGTGGGTAGTATATGGGGCTTTGGAGATAAAATGGATGGCACTGTGATAGACTACATCCAATTTGCTGAGTAGAGTGTTGGAGGCTATTTTGTAAATGACATCGCCGAAGTCAAGGATCGGTAGGATTGTCAGTTTTACGAGGGCATGTTTGGCAGCATGAGTGAAGGAGGCTTTGTTGCGAAATAGGAAACCGATTCTAGATTTAACTTTGGATTGGAGATTCTTAATGAGAGTCTGGAAGGAGAGTTTACAGTCTAACCAGACACCTAGGTATTTGTAGTTGTCCACATACTCTAGGTCAGACCCGTCGAGAGTAGTGATTCTAGTCGGGTGGGCGGGTGCAAGCAGCGTTCGGTTGAAGAGCATGCATTTAGTTTTACTAGTGTTTAAGAGCAGTTGGAGGCTACTGAAGGAGTGTTGTATGGCATTGAAGCTCGTTTGGAGGTTTGTTAACACAGTGTCCAATGAAGGGCCAGATGTATACAAAATGGTGTCGTCTGCGTAGAGGTGGATCTGAGAGTCACCAGCAGCAAGAGCGACGTCATTGATATACGCAGAGAAAAGAGTCGGCCCAAGAATTGAACCCTGTGGCACCCCCATAGAGACTGCCATAGGTCCAGACAACAGGCCCTCCGATTTGACAAATTGAACTCTATCAGAGAAGTAGTTGGTGAACCAGGCGAGGCAGTCATTTGAGAAACCAAGGCTATTTAGTCTGCCAATAAGAATGCGGTGGTTGACAGAGTATAAAGCCTTGGCCAGGTCAATGAAAACGGCTGCACAGTACTGTCTATTATCGATCGCGGTTATAATATCGTTTAGGACCTTGAGCGTGGCTGAAGTGCACCCATGACCAGCTCGGAAACCGGATTGCATAGCGGAGAAGGTACGGTGGGATTCGAAATGGTCGGTGATCTGTTTGTTAACTTGGCTTTCAAAAACTTTTGAAAGGCAGGGCAGGATGGATATGGGTCTGTAACAGTTTGGATCTAGAGTGTCACCCCCTTTGAAAAGGAGGATGACCGCGGCAGCTTTCCAATCTCTGGGGATCTCAGACGTTACGAAAGAGAGGTTGAACAGGCTAGTAATAGGGGTTGCGACAATTTCGGCGGCTAGTTTTAGAAAGAAAGGGTCCAGATTGTCTAGCCCAGATGATTTGTAGGGGTCCAGATTTTGCAGCTCTTTCAGAACATCAGCTGTCTGGATTTGTGTGAAGGAGAAGCGGGGGGGGCATGGGCAAGTTGCTGCGGAGGGTGCAGAGCTGGTGGCCGGGGTAGTGGTAGCCAGGTGGAAAGCATGGCCAGCCGTAGCAAAATGCTTGTTGAAATTCTCGATTATTGTAGATTTATCGGTGGTGATAGTGTTTCCTAGCCTCAGTGCAGTGGGCAGCTGGGAGGAAGTGCTCTTATTTTCCATGGACTTTACAGTGTCCCAAAACTTTTTGGAGTTAGTGCTACAGGATGCAAATTTCTGTTTGAAAAAGTTAGCCTTTGCTTTCCTAACTGCTTGTGTATATTGGTTCCTAACTTCCCTGAAAAGTTGCATATCGCGGGGGCTATTTGATGCTAATGCAGTACGCCACAGGATGTTTTTGTGCTGGTCAAGGGCAGTCAAGTCTGAGGAAAACCAGGGGCTATATCTGTTCTTAGTTCTGTATTTTTTGAATGGGGCATGTTTATTTAAGATTGAGAGGAAATTACTTTTAAAGAACAACCAGGCATCCTCTACTGACGGAATGAGATCTATATCCATCCAGGTTACCTGGGCCAGGTCAATTAGGAAGGCCTGCTCGCTGAAGTGTTTTTGGGAGCGTTTGACAGTGATGAGGGGTGGTCGTTTGACCGCGGACCCGTTACGGACGCAGACAATAAGGCAGTGATCGCTGAGATCCTGGTTGAAGACAGCAGTGGTGTATTTAGAGGGTAAGTTAGTCAGGATGATATCTATGAGGGTACTCATGTTTACGGATTTGATTACCGGCCATTGCAGCCAAACTCTTTTATAAAGTTGTTACAATGCATTTACATTTTATAATATAATAATTATATTTTAATTTATCTTATACACAAACTGAAGTCATAAAATTACAAATTACTGCAGTAATGCATCACAAGCCTGTGTGTTGAGTTTATGTACTTGAAGTTAACATTTATTTGTGTGTGTGTGTGTGTGTGTGTGTGTGTGTGTGTGTGTGTGTGTGTGTGTGTGTGTGTGTGTGTGTGTGTGTGTGTGTGTGTGTGTGTGTGTGTGTGTGTGTGTGTGTGTGTGTGTGTGTGTGTGTGATACAATTCCATATGAATAGGCGAGATAAGGTTTTGTCACTCATCATTTGACCAATGGGGCCCCCTTCAGGTTAGGAGGCTGTACTATCACAGCTCTGCAAAGGCCCCAAATACAGATCAGATTGTGAAAATATCACACAATTCAATTAGCAATTCAGATTCAACAGCAACAAAAACATTCAGTAAATTGGGGAAATCATAAAAAATAGAATTGATAAATGTCCACCAAACCGACTGTAACTGAACACTAATAAGATTGAAGATCTTTCTGATCTTTCTTTTTTTAGTTATTTATTAACCCATTATACAGAGACAAGGGACATTCTAAATGTTTTGCTGATTGATATACCCAACCCCCCCCCCCCCCACCACCACACAAAACAGTTTTTTTTATTATCCTCTAAGCAGTAAGTGTATAACCAGGTTATGCCAGTAAATGATGTCAAAAGGTCAGTATGAGGGCTCTAGCATATCCATATACTGTATCTTTAAAAAACATGAACTTTGGATACATGCAATACATTAAGTATTGGGAAATAGATGTACAACTACAACACATTTACCGGAATGTGATAAGGAATTCTGGATAAGCCTGCACATCACTGAAGATTACAAAAAAGGTTGGATTGGAGGTTCTATCTGCTGTCGCTTCCCTGAAGGTTTGGCAGGGGGAATTAGCAAGCCTGGAGGTCCCTGAGTGTAGTCTCCAACAAGAACCCTGGCCAGGTACATGCCCTTGAGCCCTTGTGCATCGGGCTTGGCATATCCACTTGCAGATATGGGGTCCACAGAAAAGTAAGATCCACAGCCAATTGCAGCACCTAGATAAAAAAACTCAATCAAATTAAATAAGAATATACAATAAAATGACACCCAAATATACACTGAGTGTACAAAACATTAGGAACACCTGGAACACCTGAGCCATGGATTGTGTATGTGTGCCATTCAAAGGGTGAATGGGCAAGACAAAATACTGTATTTAATTGCCTTTGAATGGTGTATGGTGCCAAGCACACTGGTTTGAGTGTGTCAAGAATTACAACGCTGCTGGGTTTTTCATGCCCAAAAGTTTCCCTGTGTGTATCAAGAATGGTCCACAACCCCAAAGGACATCCAGCCAACTTGACACAACTGTGGGAAGCATTGGAGTCAACATGGGCCAGCATCCCTGTGGAACACTTTCGACACCTTGTAGAGCCCATGCCCCGACGAATTGAGGCTGTTCTGAGGGCTAACGGGGGTGTAACTCAATATTAGGAAGGCGTTCCTAATGTTTTGTACACTCAGTGTAGCTACAAGCAGCAATTACATTTACATTTACATTTACATCATTTAGCAGACGCTCTTATCCAGAGCGACTTACAAATATCGGGAGGGGTTCTAGTATAAGAGCAGGCTGGAAGTAAGCATGGAAGTATTATACATCATCCCTCCTGTAATGTAACAATTCAAAACACTTAATGCAAGTTTCAATTTGATTTGAGTTCAACTTTTTACAAAGAAACCATCTTTTGATCTATTACTTAGATTTTCTCAAACATACTAGAGACAAAAAATGATTAACATACATTCTGAGTTTGGAGTCGGATGTACGGTTAATGAGAATACAACTTTTGAAAATGTTTATGAAAAATCCAATAGGGCGGAAAATCCAACATGGTGGACCTCATGGGTCCTTTAGGCAAATTTGTTCCTTATGATGAAAAACACTTATTTACCAAGCTTCCTGGTTGTAGGTCAAACGGGGTGGCGGAGCTGAGCCTTAGACTTTGAATCCTTCGTATAGCGCCACCTATGGGCCAATCTGTTTATCGCTTAGCTTTCTTCTAACTGAAACGCACACACCAGTATAAATTCACTTTTTTTGAGCTGAAAGACGATGGCCAGAGCTTATCCATGATGTTTCACAACAATGTAAGTCAATAAGTCATTGTTTTACTCAAGGTATGATATATTTGGGCTTGAAATGACAAAACCGAACTGCCCGCTTCGTGCTAATTCGTGCCAATGCCGAGTCTTTTCCTATGAAATGACATGTAAATTCATTTTAGCCTACGTTTCGTTTCAGGGCTGGGTTTTATTTGAAATGGTACCACCCCAACCAGCGTGGCATTGTATATTAATCAGAAACACCTGCAAAGTTTATTTATTTTATTTAACCTTTATTTAACTAGGCAAGTCAGTTAAGAACAAATTCTTATTTACAATGACGCCTCAGTTAGCAACTGAGCTGAGCAACATAATAGATAATCTTTGGCTACATCAAAGATGGTAGATAAATAAAGATAGTTAACTCAGGTCATTTACCATTTTAAAAAATGGTCAGTTCCGGTCTACTTAACGGGGTGGGTCTTCCATGGACACCAATACAATAGCAGCTGGGTCTGATCTACTAAGTTCATTGATCTTCATTGAACCAGAAAAAAACAGCGAGTTTTTGGAGCCAATTAAAATAGGCGTATGTTTTTGCACCTCCACTGTTTTACCAACAAATCATCATAATCCATTGGATAATTTGTCAAGTTTCACTTGTTTTTGCGCTAGTCTGTATTAAAAAATTGTGTGTGATATGATTATATTTTGGAACCCTGCTCCCCTCGTCACCCCAAGATGAATGGTTTTGATTTAGCCCACTGCAGTAAAAGGTTCTGTGTGACCCTGATTTAGCCCACTACAGTAAAAGGTTCTGTGTGACCCTGATTTAGCCCACTACAGTAAAAGGTTCTGTGTGACCCTGATTTAGCCCACTACAGTAAAGGGTTCTGTGTGACCTTGATTTAGCCCACTACAGTAAAGGGTTCTGTGTGACCCTGATTTAGCCCACTGCAGTAAACAGGGTTCTGTGTGACCCTGATTTAGCCCACTGCAGTAAAAGGTACTGTGTGACCCTGATTTAGCCCACTGCAGTAAAAGGTTAAGTAAAGACAGACATAATTCATCTACATTCTGAGTTTCGAGTGAATCGGATGTACGGTTTATTCGAAGATTTTTGAAGATTTTATGAAAAATCCAAGATGGCGGAAAATTCAATATTGCGTGCCTTACGGGTCCTTGAGGCTAATTTGTTGCTTATGATGAGAAACACTTACATAGAAAGTCTGTGCGTGTACGTCAAACTGGGTGGCAGGTCTGAGACGTTTTGGTGTCTGAGTAGTGGTGTTGATATACTTCGATATTGCCAAAGTATATATTGTTTTATCAATCGTCATTGAGATATTGCGACAAAGGCCGAAGAATAAGATAGAAAGAAAGAAAGAAAGAAAGAAAGAAAGAAAGAAAGAAAGAAAGAAAGAAAGAAAGAAAGAAAGAAAGAAAGAAAGAAGAAAGAAAAGAAAGAAAGAAAGACAGAAATATATATATATATATATAAGAAGAATTCCATCAGAAACATTAGGTTTGCTTTGCTGCCAGCATCCCTAACAAGTCCCATTGGCTGATAATAAAATGAATAAATCAAATTTTGAAGTTGAATATCCATCAGACAGCAGATTATCATTATTTATATCAATTTCTACATTACAAGAAAATCATATGAACCCTGGGGAGATGGACTTCCCATTCCCCAACCCTGGGGAGATGGACTTCCCATTCCCCAACCCTGGGGAGATGGACTTCCCATTCCCCAACCCTGGGGAGATGGACTTCCCATTCCCCAACCCTGGGGAGATGGACTTCCCATTCCCCAACCCTGGAGAGATGGACTTCCCATTCCCCAACCCTGAGGAGATAGACTTCCCATTCCCCAACCCTGGGGAGATGGACTTCCCATTCCCCAACCCTGGGGAGATGGACTTCCCATTCCCAAACCCTGGGGAGATGGACTTCCCATTCGGATACCAGGTGTTTCTATGTAGCTGCAGTTGAAGCCGTGATTGTTGATCTGACTGATGGAGTTTGAACTGGTGCCATGGAAGAGCAGTCTCTCGTTGTTGTAGTGCTTGTTCTTCTCCTCCAGGTCTTTCTTCTTTATCTGGTAGTTCTTCCACAGTGCCTTGTTCTGGACTCGTTCAATCTACCAATATGAGGAAAAAGTACAGCACAGAAAAAGTATTATTAAAAAAGAAACTAGGATGTATTTATTACTTCAGTGCTATACCATGTAATGGAAGGATGTCATGCGTAGATAAGAACAAACAATGTCAGTTATTGTTAGCTCTTGACTGTTTTCACCTCATTTTCAGGCAATGGGCTCAATTATATATATAATTTTTCAGCCGCTAAGGAGACGCAATTGTCAAACGCACGTTAGTTTACAATTTTGTTACGTAAAAACTGGCGCGCTGACATTTTCCAGCCCTTATGCCAGGTTCGGCAATTTACCTGTCTGACATCAGCTCGCTTGCGCTGAGGTGGGAGGGGTGGCAATATTTGAGGTGTGTCCTTGAAAACAAGCGCAAAAGTGACAATTTCTTGCAGCCCTAATGGGAAGTTTTAAGACCCACAAAAAGCAGGTCTTACGAGTAATGCAGTTGGTAATGGCATGGATTTTGAGAGCGGAAGCGCAGGCTATCCAGCTGTGACGCACAGTGCCCATGGAACGAGAGATGTGACTTTTCTGCCTCGATTGTTTTCCCCTCATTTCTTTAATTTGATTAAACACCAAGCATAGCCTCCCCTCCCCTTTAATCAAGGCTGGTTTAGCAGCTTCTCATAGGTGTATTTCTATCAATAAGTTAGCCAAGTAGCCTGTATGAATAAAGGGTTTTTGAATGTTCTACTGAGAGTGCCTTGGAATATTTTGGAGGCTTTTGTCCTCATGCTTTTTCATGATTCACAACACACATACCTGCATACTTCATTTCGCTTGTTCAAGTAGGCTATCCATCACAACACACATACCTGCATACTTCATTTTGCTTGTTCAAGTAGGCTCTCCATCACAACACACATACCTGCATACTTCATTTCGCTTGTTCAAGTAGGCTATCCATCACAACACACATACCTGCATACTTCATTTCGCTTGTTCAAGTAGGCTATCCATCACAACACACATACCTGCATACTTCATTTCGCTTGTTCAAGTAGGCTATCCATCACAATACACATACCTGCATACTTCATTTCGCTTGTTCAAGTAGGCTATCCATCACAATACACATACCTGCATACTTCATTTCGCTTGTTCAAGTAGGCTATCCATCACAATACACATACCTGCATACTTCATTTCGCTTGTTCAAGTAGGCTATCCATCACAATACACATACCTGCATACTTCATTTCGCTTGTTCAAGTAGGCTATCCATCACAACACACATACCTGCATACTTCATTTCGCTTGTTTAAGTAGGCTATATATCACAATACACATACCTGCATACTTCATTTCGCTTGTTCAAGTAGGCTATCCATCCCTATTTTCAAAGAGCGCCCCTCGTCCGATTACCAAAGACGCACTCCTCCAAACTATTCAGTTCTCTTATAATGCCATATCAACAGCAGATTTTTTTTTAGAATGTGCCTCGCACGTAGTCAATGATGCAATTGTAAATGTTAAGCATAAAGACATTTAGGTCTACGTTTGCACACAGTGCCATGGAACGAGAGATGCGATTTATGATATCATGCTTCTGACCCCATCATATTTGGAAATATTGTTGTTGTTTAAAAAAAGTAGATTGCTTGTTTTTCGCTTCATTTAATTTAAAGCCAAACATAGCCTCCCCTCAGTGAAAGCTGTTTTTTTTTTGTGTCCTGCCCAATGCATTTGCCAAATAGCAGCCACTCAACAAAGGGTTTGGCTCGTGAGACTGCTTTGAAATAAATATGAATCACCAAAGCTTTTGTAGTGTCGAGTCAATGTTGCTAATAATGCTGTAACAAAGGAGTCCGCTTATACTGACCTTTGATCATAAGTTTTATTCATATCACAAGATTTCAGCATAAGTGTACAGGTGTCCAGATCACCCGGAGAGCAGTGGTTCCCAAATTGCAATGGCCGCTCTGGTCCTCTTTGTCTCCATCCAGTATATATAATCTTCACCAAAATATGGGCTGCTCCCTCTACTGTCCAATCCCCTGTCTTGTATGGGGCGTCACCCTAAAAATGTCTCTCTTTCTTCTAAATAAACATCCTCTCAAGTTCCACTTAAAACCTTATCAAAGTCATAATCTTAATACACTACACTTTATTAAAAGATCAAGTTTGGAAGCAGCAAAACAGTGAGTGGACATCCCCTTTTAATCATTATTTTAGTCAGCTCATTGTTATCCCATTGTTATTTTTGAGTGGACATCCCCTTTGAATCATTATTTTAGTCAACTCATTGTTATCACATTGTTATTTTTGAGTGGACATCCCCTTTTAATAATTATTTTAGTCAGCTCATTGTTATCCCGTTGTTATTTTTGAGTGGACATCCCCTTTTAATCCTTATTTTAGTCAGCTCATTGTTATCCCGTTGTTATTTTTGAGTGGACATCCCCTTTTAATCATTATTTTAGCCAGCTCCCATTATTATTTTGGATGTACGTAAAAGCCTCCAGAGTCTACCTTAATATTATATGCCCACGGGGAGCAGTTATGGTGCCTGTAACTGTATTTAGAGGTAGCCTATTTAAAACAAGGTCTTTCTTTTTAATTAGAATTTGATTAGAATTATTCACTCTCTTTTTAAGCCTTATCAATAGTGAAATGAATCTTGCTTATTGACAATGTTTAGCATGTCCATGGCTCAGCCATGGCAGATAATATGTAATTTACAGTAGTCCTAGCCCCTGTGTCAGTGTGAATGCTATGTTGAACAATACTGTTCCATATTGAAGCCATGCAATTTTCTTACAATGTGAACTGCAAACATGTTCAACATATTTAGCAAAGATAGGATTGGCCTACAAAGGATACATTTTGTTATTTTGTTTCTGTAGGCTATTTAACAAACTAGGTAACGGACTAATAATCTAATTGGAGTCGGTGACAATGCAATACATAAAAGACCATGAATACACAACTTGAGATAACCACATATTTAGCCATGGAGCACCCTCTGATTGGCCAGTGTGGGGTCAAACCTCGATACACCTAAAACGTGTTTATTCATCAAAACCCAGCCCTTTTGCGCCACCGCCAGCTACAGCACCCATAATTCTGGTTGTCAAAATAAAATAAAAAATCTGGCACAACCCTGAACCTAGGGTTCATCACTAAGATTGCCAGCACTAAGATTTACCATTGCGTTAGGTTTGTTAAAATAGAGCCCAAGAAGATTGTATTATTTTATTATGTATTATTATCTATAATTATTATTTATTTCTGTATATATTGTTTATTATTATTTATGTATATATTGTTTATTATTATTAATTGTTTATATATATATATATTATATTATTTATTATTATTATTATTAATAATAAATGATTGATTTATATTATATATTATTATTATTATTTATGTTTTATGTAGTATTTATTGTTATGTATTATTATTATTATTGATTTATATAGTATTTATTATTATCTCATAATAATATTACAGTGATGTGTTACACCTCTGGCTACAAGTATCTGGACCTACATAATTTCATTTTTCAGAAACTCTGGCCTCCAATATTTCTGATCTATATTTCAGGTATTGAAAGACAGTCCATGAGATCAAGTTACCGTTAACATACTTTAATAATGGTGTGGGTAAGCCCTGTCTCCACACACTCCCTCTCCACATCATCGTATTCCCTTGATCTTGGAGTAAGATTGACCAGCTTTAAGAGGGAACCATTCATGTCATCCCACTGTGTAGGCAGAGAACCTGCCTGGACAAAATAGAGACATTTGTCTGGACAAAAGAGAGACAATTTGGCATTTAGTAAACTATTCACGACACAATAAATGCTGTCATTAAATGAATAAATTCAGTACTGGGAAAATATATAATTGACAGCCTTGAATGCATATTGATGTAATTAATGTCAAAACATATTTGAAGAAATGGTTTTATATCAGCTCTCACTGATTTAAATACCTTCATTTATTTACATTTTTTATCCAAACAGATGAGAATATATAATAGCGTCACCTATTAGTTCTTTTCCAAATAACTCAATTTGTCTTCCAAATATCTTGGATTGTTTTTGGATGCGCCGAAAGGTTTCTTTGAGCCTGAGGTCCTCTGTCTCTACCGACCGGACCATGTCCCTGATGCTTCTGTCTGCAGTAAGCACATCGAAGCTCAGGCCCTCCAGGTGGATCAGAGAGTCAGGGCCCTTTTTTCTCCAGACGTATCCTGACAGTCAGCTCCCTCTGCATAGCCTGGAGTCTAACCACGTCCCCCTGGCTCAGCTGGCTGACGTATGGGTCCTTGATGGTTCTCTCAGTTTGCTCCTTCACAATGAGGTTTTCAACCCAGTCCTGGGTACGGCTCAAAGCTTGGGGGCCTCTCTGCACACAGCTGGAACACGGTTGGGGAAAACTCCTCACCCTCCATGACAAAGTTCTCACTGCCAGAGATTCCATTACTGGGTCCCTTAAAGACATCTATTGTGCGGAAGAAAGGGCACAGAACATCAACACCATGATAAAGTGTCACTTGGTGTATTGTCATTTACATTTAGACCTCACAATGTCTTCTACCTCACACACGTTCATACTGACTGACCTTTGATCTTGGTGAAAATGTTCTCCTCCACCCCCTCTCGTCCCCTTGGTGGCTGACTCATAGCACTCACACACTCGATCTCCAACATGTGATCCTCCTGCAGAAGTGCCACACATCCGTGCTCCTTCATCGCCATGGATGTAAACATGCTCTCCTGCTCTTGGAAGTACTTCCTTGCTCCAGGCTTCATGATGGTGAGCTCATCAGTGCAGAAGGCAGCCGCCATCTTCTGAAAGGACGCCTTGGCCTTCTTGACATAGAGACGGGACCCTGAGAGGAAGATTCTGGGCCTTCTGGGGACAAAGCAGACATTCACCTCATCACGCTTGGCAAAATGTCTACAGTTCTGAGATTTTTTCTCCTGGATGAATTTAACCACGGCACAGGACTTGACACAGACAGCCTCTTCGACTTGTGAGTATTTTTCAACAAAGTCCTCCAGACAGTTGCTGACCTCTTTGACCGGGTCCAGAAAGCCAGAGACAATGATTCTCTGGATGGAGCTTTATCACCACCGTGTTCTTCTTTGGGAAGTTGTATGCATCCACCAGGTGGCTGTTCAGATCCTTCCACCCAGGCATCTTCAACACATCCTGGTTCTCCACCACGAGGCTCTGTATGGACAGGGCAGTCTTCACCATCTGCTCTGCGTCAGTCAAGGATTTGTCTGAGTTGGCATTCAGAAGCACCTCTCCACCCTCCATGCTCTACACAGCACTGATGGCCCGGGACGTGAACAGGTCCTGGGACATCTCCATACTGTCGACTGACCTCGGGAAGTCCAGGATGTGAGGGTCCAGCTTCATCTGCTTCTTCCTCATTCTGAGCTTCCTCTCCTGGATCCAGCTCTCCACCTTGTACACCTCTGAGACAAGACCTGAGAGAACCAGCTTCTTGGCGTCGTCTCTGTAGGAGAGACCCATCTCTGGGGCTTCGTCTGCTGCATGCTTCCGCAGTCCTTCCTGCTGCAGGATGTAGAACATGGCAGGGGACACGTCCATCTCCAGTGAGACGCTGTCCCTCTGCCTCTGTATCTGACTCATGGCCCTCTTCATGAGGCTCTCCACCAGCCGCCTGAGCCGCTTCGTGTCTTCAGCCAGGCCCGCCACTGTCAGAGCCCCTCTGGAGGCATCCATCAGCAGGACAGCATCCTCTTTCACCCCCCCCGAGCGGACTTCGTTCTCCACTGCCTCCCACACTGGGGCACTTTGCACCACACTCAAACATCGCACACTCAAACAGCTCCATGATGTCACAGAAGACGTTCAAGGCATTCTGTTTCCATCCGTCTATGTGTTAGTTTGTTTAGTCCTCTCTGCTTCAGCAGGGTAGGTAGAGGCACTGTCCACGTCCACCTGACAGAAGTAGACCTTCAGCTGGTCGTTGATGGGGGACGACTGTCTCTTTGTGGAGAGGAATGACCACAAAGCAGGATGCAAACTCTCTGTGAAGGGGTTCAGCAAGCTTCCACATTGTCCTTGCCATACAAGACAGTACCCAAGGACTCGTAGTACAGATATACGTTGACTTGGACTTTGCAAATGACTTGGTTTTTATCTTTTATTGTCTCCCCAGCTGAAATGATATAGAAAACAGATAAGCAATATAAAAGGCTGTGCAAAAAACAACCACAAAAGGTATGTTAATTAAATAGTACCCAAAATACAAATAAAAAGATGAACAAATGAACACGTTTATATTTGATTATTATTTATGATTATTATTATTATTATTATTATTAAGTCAATCTCCCAAGCGAAATAGTTGATTCACTCAGCAGGTTTTTACCTTTTGGCTCCTGGAAGATGACAATGGCTGCCTGCTCCTCAGGGATCATTATTGACTTTATTCACTGGGAACCCCTGTCACGATCGTTAGACGGAGTAGACCAAGGCGCAGCGTTATTTGCAAACATACTTAATCTTTGTTATCTTTGGTGATAATACGAACAACAAAACAACAAACGATACGTGCAGTCCTACGGTTAACACAACCAACGCGGAACAAACCAAACGGAAACAAGATCCCACAAACACTAAGGGAAAAACAGACTGTTTAAATATGGTTCCCAATCAGAGACAACCAGCAACAGCTGACACTCGTTGCCTCTGATTGGGAACCACTCAGGCCAACATAGAAATACAAGAACTAGATACCCAACATAGAACAACAACACATAGAATCTACACACCCTGGCTCAACATATAGAGTCCCCAGAGCCAGGGTGTCACAGTACCCCCCCCCCCAAAGGCGCGGACTGCGACCGCGCCTCAACATAGACAAACCAGGGGAGGGCTGGGTGGGCATTCCTCCTCGGAGGCGGTTCCGGCTCCGGGCTTGACCACCACCCTCCAATAATTCCCCCGTAGCGCCACTGGTCCGGTCTGGCCCCGCTGGCTGGAGCTGGACTGGACATCGTAGGAGCGGATTGCTTCAGCTCCGGTGTGGAGCAGCTGACCGGTACCTGACCAGGCACCGGTGACCCAGGCACGGGTTTGCCGGACTGACGCGGGACGGGGTGAGTCACACCCTGGCGGGGTGGTGGGGAGGGGAAAGGGCCGGACGGGGGACGATGCGCCCCCGGGGCGGGGGGGGCCAGCAAGGGCCCGGAGGGGGGACGAGGCACCCGGCTTGGTGCGGGGAGCAGGAAGGGCCGGGGCCCGGGTGACGATGCGACCCCTGGTTTGGTGCGTGGGGGAAAAGGGCCGTCCCGGGCTGAGGCGCCCCCCTGGCTTGGTGGGGAGAGGAACGGGCGGGGGGCGGCGATGCGCACCGGGGTTTGGGTTTGCGATGGAGGAACGGGCCCGGGCCCGGGTGGCGACGCGCACCGTAGATTGGTGGAGTGGAAGGAACGGGCCCGGGGGGCTGGGGGACGCGAAACTTTAGTGGTGGGGGGGGGCAGGAAGGCGGGGGGGGCGCGCCGCCCCGTAGGTTTGGGTGGGGGGCGGAACAGGCCGGCGGGCGGGCGAGGCACGGGTTGGGGGAGGGGCAGGACAGGGGGGGGGGGCCCGGGCTGGCCGACCGCCTGAAGTAGGCTTGGTGCGGAGTGGCAGGAACAGGCCGGGCCAGTGGCCTGGCGACTGCGCACCGTAGGTTGGTGCGAGGGGCAGGATACATGGGCCGGGCCCGGGCTTGGCGAACGCGCACCGTGCTTGGTGCGAGGGGCAGGAACTGGCCGGGCCGGGCTGGCGACCGGACCGTAGACTTGGTGCGAGGTGTCAGGTAACCAGGCCGGGCCGGGCTGGCGACGCGCACCGTAGGCTTTGGTGCGAGGGGCAGGAACAGGCCAGGGCCGGCTGGCGACGCGCCACCGTAGGCTTTGGTGGAGGGGCAGGAAACAGGTAGGCCGGGCCGGGCTGGCGACGCGCACCGTAGGCTGGTGCGATGTGGCAGGAAACAGGCCGGGAACCGGGGCTGGCGACGCGCACCGTAGGCTTGGTGCGAGTGGCAGGAACAGGCCGGGCCGGGCTGGCGACGCGCACCGTAGGCTTGGTGCGAGGGCAGGAACAGGCCGGGCCGGGCTGGCGACGCGCACCGTAGCTTGGTGCGAGTGGCAGGAACAGGCCGGGCCGGGCTGGCGACGCGCACCGTAGCTTTGGTGCGAGTGGCAGGAAACAGGCCGGGCCGGGCTGGCGACGCGCACCGTAGGCTTGGCGCGAGGGGCAGGAACAGGCCGGGCCGGGCTGGCGACGCACACCGTAGGCTTGGTGCGAGGAGCAGGAACAGGTCGGGCCGGGCTGGCGACGCGCACCATTACCTTGGTGTGGGGAGCAGGAACAGACCGGACCGTACTGGGGACACACACCACTGGCCCTACGCCGGGATCTGGAACGGGCCGGACCGGACTGGTAACACACCCCAGTACCTCTCGCCGTGCCTCTACACCTTCCTTCCCTTCTTTGACCAGTGGCCCCCGTAACCTGGCGGCCTCCTGCTGCCCAGTCGCCCATGCCGTGTGCCCCCCCCCCCCTAAAAATTTTTTGGGGTTGCCTCTCGTCCGTCCGACGACGACACTGTTGACGCCGCTGCTCCTCTCTCGCCAGGGCCTTAATTTTAGCCCATGGCCCTCTTCCCCCAAGCATGTCCTCCCAGGACCACCCTTTGCCCACCTGGGCCATCGCCAACCTCTCCAGCTCCTTTCCCAGCACTTCCTCCCATGTCCAGGCTGCCTGCTCCTGGACACGCTGCTTGGTCCTGGAGTGGTGGGATCTTCTGTCACGATCGTTAGACGGAGTAGACCAAGGCGCAGCGTTATTTGCAAACATACTTAATCTTTATTATCTTTGGTGATAATACGAACAACAAAACAACAAACGATACGTGCAGTCCTACGGTTAACACAACCAACGCGGAACAAACCAAACGGAAACAAGATCCCACAAACACTAAGGGAAAAACAGACTGTTTAAATATGGTTCCCAATCAGAGACAACCAGCAACAGCTGACACTCGTTGCCTCTGATTGGGAACCACTCAGGCCAACATAGAAATACAAGAACTAGATACCCGACATAGAACAACAACACATAGAATCTACACACCCTGGCTCAACATATAGAGTCCCCAGAGCCAGGGTGTGACAGTACCCCCCCCCCCCAAAGGCGCGGACTGCGACCGCGCCTCAACATAGACAAACCAGGGGAGGGCTGGGTGGGCATTCCTCCTCGGAGGCGGTTCCACCTTTCGAAGTAGAGCTCCAAGATGTCTTCAATGATGGCAGGGGAAAGCTTCTCCACTCTTACACCGTTCCAGCTCCCGGCCAATCAAACCATGCTTCATGAAGTGTTTGTTGCTCTTGCTGTTGGTGAGGAACTGTTCTGCATCTGAAGATACACCATTCATATCCTCATTATCATAGAGAACCTATCATAGTTGCCTTCATCTGCGATATGTCATTTGGGGTATTATTTGTTCCTCAAACTCGAAATTGTGTCTATTACATAAGGAAACTATTAACCCAATTGGAGCTGTGACCTACCATTGGGTTTGTTGAAGGTCACAACTGCTATGTTTGTCTCTCTGATGATCTCCAGAGAGAAGTTGTCTTCCTCTAGGCCAGAGATGTTCTCCACCAACAACACCAGCAAGTCTCGGTACATGCTCTCAGGAACCCTCTCCAGTACCACAGCAGTGCCATGAGGAGAATTCTCAGCAACACCCTGATCTTACATTTACATTTTAGTCATTTAGCAGACGCTCTTATCCAGAGCGACTTACAGTTAGTGAATACATCTTTTTTTATACTGGCCCCCCGTGGGAATCGAACCCACAACCCTGGCGTTGCAAACGCCATGCTCTATCAACTGAGCTACATCCCTGCCGGCCATTCCCTCCCCTACCCTGGACAACGCTGGGCCAATTGTGCGCCGCCAATGAGTCTCCCGGTCGCGGCCGGCTGCAACAGAGCCTGGATTCGAACCAGCATCTCTAGTGCCACAGTTAGCACTGCGATGCAGTGCCTTAGACCACTGCGCCACTCAGGAGACAGGCCCGCATTTTTATCTTCAGGCCCGCTCTGCGCTCCACCTGAAATATCTGGGATTAAATACACTAGATATCCACAATGATTAAAAAACGAATGATTTAACACTCACAATTAGAATTTCCCTAAATAGCCAGACGTACTGATCATTACCCAGTAAATACATGTCTATTTTCTCTCTGTGTCATTATGACATCATAGAACAGTTATGAAATACCATCAACAAGAGTATAGTGTTACCTGAAGATGTCTTACTTGTTGCGCCAATCTGGAAAACGTGTAAAACAGACACAAATAACAACAACAGATTAAATCAGCGCATTAATTACATCTGGTAAATCATTTTCTAACATTTATTTTTGGCCATAACAACATTAGACTGTGTTACATGATACAGTTTGGAGCGCTATCAAACCACAGAGTGACGTTACAGCGATGAGGACTGTTGTATATCCTTGTTGTCGAGGCCTTTAGACACCTGTGATCATCTGAAGTATCCGAAAAGGACAATAATATGCCATTTAGTAGACGCTTTTATCCAAAGCGACTTAAGGACATATGTGCATACATTTTCACATATGGGTGGTCCCGGGGATCGGACTCACTACCCTGGCGTTACAAGCACCATGCTCTACCAATTGCGCTACCTTGAAAGTTACAAAAATGCTGGTAGTTTACTGGTAAACTTTGAACGTTTCTAGTACTATACCCTCCCTTTGCAACCCTACACAGCGCTCATGGTGATGTGACATCTGGCAATATTACTGTCCAACATCACTTATATTCTTCTGTTTAACAATTACACCATTTTTTTATTTTTTATTATAAAACATTGACAGAAGATTGTTGTGCTAAATCTCTGTTTAGATGGGCACGGCAACAAAAGCAACCCGTGATGACTTTTTATTGGTTGCCATATAAGTTAGCAAACTAGCGCTAGGCCCTTTTCACGTTACACATTACAGATAACACAATGGGTTAGTTACTAACATAAATATCACTCACCAACTATTGTATGATCAAACCAACACCAACAATAATAATGACCCAACACACCTCCAGGCTGTGTAAGGACTATATGACCAAGAAGGAGAGTGATGGAGTGCTGCATCAGATGACCTGGCCTCCACAATCACCCGACCTCAACCCAATTGAGATGGTTTGGGATGAGTTGGACCACAGAGTGAAGGAAAAGCAGCCAAAAAGTGCTCAGCATATGTGGGAACTCCTTCAAGACTGTTGGAAAAGCATTCCAGGTGAAGCTGGTTGAGAGAATGCCAAGACTGTGCAAAGCTGTCATCAAGGCAAACGGTGGCTATTTGAAGAATCTCAAATATAAAATATATTTTGATTTGTTTAACACTTTTTTGGTTACTACATGATTCCATATGTGTTATTTCATAGTTTTGATGTCTTCATTATTATTCTACAATGTAGAAAATAGTAAAAATAAAGAAAAACCCTGGAATGAGTAGGTGTGTCCAAACTTTTGACTGGTACTGTATATATATATTTTTATATACAGTGAGGGAAAAACTATTTGATCCCCTGCTGATTTTGTATGTTTGCCCACTGACAAAGAAATGATCAGTCTATAATTTTTATGGTAGGTTTATTTGAACAGTGAGAGACAGAATAACAACAAAAAAATCCAGAAAAATGCATGTCAAAAATGTTAGAAATTGATTTGCATTTTAATGAGGGAAATAAGTATTTGACCCCTCTGCAAAACATGACTTAGTACTTGGTGGCAAAACCCTTGTTGGCAATCACAGAGGTCAGACGTTTATTGTAGTTAGCCACCAGGTTTGCACACATCTCAGCAGGGATTTTGTCCCACTCCTCTTTGCAGATCTTCTCCAAGTCATTAAGGTTTCGAGCCTGACGTTTGGCAACTCGAACCTTCAGCTCCCTCCACAGATTGTCTATGGGATTAAGGTCTGGAGACTGGCTAGGCCACTCCAGGACCTTAATGTGCTTCTTCTTGAGCCACTCCTTTGTTGCCTTGGCCGTGTGTTTTGGGTCATTGTCATGCTGGAATACCCATCCACGACCCATTTTCAATGCCCTGGCTGAGGGAAGGAGGTTCTCACCCAAGATTTGATGGTACATGGCCCCGTCCATCGTCCCTTTGATGCGGTGAAGTTGTCTTGTCCCCTTAGCAGAAAAACACCCCCAAAGCATAATGTTTCCACCTCCATGTTTGACGGTGGGGATGGTGTTCTTGGGGTCATAGGCAGCATTCCTCCTCCACCAAACACGGCGAGTTGAGTTGATGCCAAAGAGCTCGATTTTGGTCTCATCTGACCACAACACTTTCACCCAGTTCTCCTCTGAATCATTCAGATGTTCATTGGCAACTTCAGACGGGTATGTATATGTGCTTTCTTGAGCAGGGGGACCTTGCGGGTGCTGCAGGATTTCAGTCCTTCACGGCGTAGTGTGTTACCAATTGTTTTCTTGGTGACTATGGTCCCAGCTGCCTTGAGATCATTGACAAGATCCTCCCGTGTAGTTCTGGGCTGATTCCTCACCGTTCTCATGATCATTGCAACTCCACGAGGTGAGATCTTTCATGGAACTCCAGGCCGAGGGAGATTGACAGTTATTTTGTGTTTCTTCCATTTGCGAATAATTGCACCAACTGTTGTCACCTTCTCACCAAGCTGCTTGGCGATGGTCTTGTAGCCCATTCCAGCCTTGTGTAGGTCTACAATCTTGTCCCTGACATCCTTGGAGAGCTCTTTGGTCTTGGCCATGATGGAGAGTTTGGAATCTGATTGATTGATTGCTTCTGTGGACAGGTGTCTTTTATACAGGTAACAAGCTGAGATTAGGAGCACTCCCTTTAAGAGTGTGCTCCTAATCTCAGCTCGTTACCTGTATAAAAGACACCTGGGAGCCAGAAATCTTTCTGATTGAGAGGGGGTCAAATACTTATTTCCCTTATTAAAATGCAAATCAATTTATAACATTTTTGACATGCGTTTTTCTGGATTTTGTTGTTGTTATTCTGTCTCTCACTGTTCACATAAACCTACCATTAAAATTATAGACTGATCATTTCTTTGTCAGTGGGCAAACGTACAAAGTCAGCAGGGGATCAAATACTTTTTTCCCTCACTGTATATGTATATATTTTTAGTTGGAAGAAAACAGGTTTGAACAGGAATACTGGGGTGGTACCGGGATGGTTGCAATTTTCTCTGGAAAATATTCAACCCTACCTCAGACACTGCTAAAGCTTTCTGACTTCTCTCCTGTAAGAAGGCCTCACACAGGTTCTTCAAAGCCAGGTTAATAGGTGAGGAACTTCTTCTGCAAACTGGACATTCGCGAGATTTCTTCCCTTTACAGCATAGATCCAGACAGGCTTTGCAGACGCTGTGGCTACAAAACAGAATGACAGGATCCCGGAATATGTCGCAGCACACAGGACAGGATAGATCTTCCTCTGGGAGAGATGATATTTGGAAGCCATTTTCTCACACGATGTCAGCCCCTAAAGATTACTTGCACTTTTAACAACCAACATTTTTTTTTACACTTTTACTTTTAACAACCTCCACTTGTTTTCAACCAAACGTTGAAAAGCACTTGGAGGTCACAGCTTTTATGCCATGTCCTTACAGTTTATTCTCTCCCTATCTCTAAACAATCTCATTCCCAGTGTGTGTCAGATGGACTTGGTCGCTGGAGAGCTATAAAACTCCCTGAGTTTAACTTTAGTCAAGGGTGGGGTGTACAGAAACCTGCGTAGATAGGCAGTCATTGCGTGTGTGTTTGGTATTACTATCCTTGTGGGGACCAGAAGTCTTGTGGGGACCAGAAGTCCTCACAAGGATAGTAAAACAAGGAGCATTCTGACAACTGGCTTAGGGGTTAGGGTTAGGGTTAGGTTTATGGTTTGGGTTAGAAGGGTTAAGGTTAGGGATATGGTTACATTGAAGGTGAGGGAAAATAGGATTTTGAATGGAAATCAATTGTTTGGTACACACAAGGATAGTCAAACAAATGTGTGTGTGTGCATGTGTGTGTGTGTGTGTGTGTGTGTGTGTGTGTGTGTGTGTGTGTGTGTGTGCTCCACGCTTCTCTTTTCTTCTCTTTAAGGGACGTAACATCTTTCTACCACATGAGGGCGCACATGCACTGCCTATTCCCAAATGTAGACAGAATCAGGAGTGTATGATCATATTCTGTAACATATTATATAAACATATTATATAATGCAAATACTACTATATACAATAATATAAAAGTATTGCAGTATGAACGGGTCATACACACACAACAGGAGTTTAAAGTGTGCATCAAAATAAATTCCTCTGTCTGTATTCTGTCTCTATATATTGTCTATCACTAGCAGCACCATTTCACAAAGTCAAAATCGGGGTATGTGTAAATGTACTTGGCGAATAAAAATGATTCTGATTCTGATTCTGATTGGCCATAGACAATGATCGTTACGCCCTCATGTGGTGACAGGTTGTAACTTCAGGTTAACACCAGTTAGTTGTTAAGTGTATGTGTGTAAATGTGTGTGCTCAGACAAGAGGAATCCCATAACCTAAGCCTCTGTCGCCACAGCTGGCCCCCTATGTCCCTTCCACAGACATG